ACACTCTAGCACAAGCACCGTTCCAGCATTTGTCTGTACCTCCACAGCCTACACCTCTCAAAAAAAAAAAAAAAAAAAAACATACACCTAAAAATTGTAGCAGTAATTGGAGCTTTGGAAGTCATCAATGACAATTTTGTTTAATCTTTTAAAATCTGTCACTTAAAAAGAAAAAAAAACCTAATGGTTTTCTAATAAAAATAGCGATGACTGTAATTCACAGATGGTTTACTTTTACAGGAGTCAGAATGACATTAACATTTTAATCTCAGCTAGGAACACTCTGCATCTAGCAGTGCACAGGGAGAGGGCTCAGTTGGAGAACATTTTAACCTCTCCTTTTCTCTGCTTAGTGAGAAACATTCTTTGATGTGAGAATACCACCAAAATGAAAAATGTAGGTGATCTGAACCTTTGGTCTAATTTTAATGAATCTTAATTTATTGGATTTGATATAACAATGTAAGACTGATTATACAGTAACATTCATTCCGTAGGAAAAAAACAAAAATGGTCAATAATTTTCTTTTGGTCAGTGTCATTAATAAAAAGTGTAAATCCATGAAAATTCAGAATATATGTGATCTTATCTGTGTTTCCTTGCTAAAGAAGGATTCTTAAATTTGTATCTTCATTAATCCCTAGCATCAGTGAAAGTAGAGAACTATAAAGACTACATTCAGAATGGTTTCTGGGGAAGAACTCCAAAATACTACTTAACTGCTAATTTCATTGTTTTCAGAAAGACCAAACATTTACTACAAGTATAGCATCTCCAAAAAAAAAAAAAAAGTACAGTCAGACAAATGCTAAAACATCCAATAAGTATCTACAAATGTTGCCAAACCATAAATAAATTATATAATACAAAACTATGTGAAATAAAATAGTCCATTGGATACCCATAAAATATGCCCAAGTAGTTGACAGAAGATTTTTTTTTACAAAATAATCTGAATGAATGTAATAGCAGCAAGCATAATACCCAGCCATTGCAACAAAGTCTTTAGCCATGTCTTGGTAGGATGCTTGTATTGTGACTTCCGATCTCCAACCTCCACTGAGCGAATCTGAAGCCCAGAAGCCCTTTGTAACTTACAAAGCCCTTGGTTGTACCTCAGCAGTGCAGATTTGCATAGCCATCACTATGTCAAACACCCACCAGGGGTTCGGAGAGCAGGTCCACCCTTCCAACTCCTACCGTTGCACATGTCTGCCTTCCTCTCATTTGTGCTTCGATTGCCAGCCCTGCTTCTTCCCAGCCATTATCCCAATCCATGGCTCCCAGAAAGAAGTCCTTTTCTCCACTTCCAAAGCTGACCTGACATGCAGTGAAACCATCAATCCACTTCTCAACTACCCACTATCAAGAGCTTCATGAAATCCCTAGTGTATTCCAAGAAAAGTTCACTTCAACCTCTGTGTCTACTCTTCCTGTAATTTACCTTCCATATCTAAACCAAAACGGTCTATTTCCTGAATATACTGTATCCTGAGTTTCCCCTTTTCCCCACTTCCTTTGTCTGAGAGGAGGAGGCAACAGGGTCAGCTAGCTCCTGGTCCCCCAGCTTATGGCTGCACCTAGCCATGGGCTGAGATAATGAGGATAATTACTGGGAAGGAGCAGGGTTGGCAACTGAAGCACAAATGAGAGGAAGGCAGACACTTGCAATGGTAGCAGTTGGAAGGGTGGACCTGTTCTCCAGTTCTCTGGTGGGTTTTTGATGTAGTGATGGCTATGCAGATCTGCACTGCCGAGGTACAATCAAGGGTTTTGTAAGTTACAAGGGGCTTCTGGGCTTCAGATTCACTCGATGGAGGTTGGAGATCTGGTGTCACAATACAAACTGGTAGGCCAGTTTCACCCCATGTTTCTTTTTCCTTTTATTTCCTCTGTGACTTATTCTATCACCTGCTACCTTCTGTGACTTATTTCTGGATTGTTGAATGACTCTAGGGTCTGACTGAAGTTTTCATTTTCCATCTTACCTCATTTTCACCCTAGAAGCTATCATCCGTCTCTGTGACTCACTTTATGCAAGGGCTTCACAATTCTTTATCTTATGTTCTTTTTTTCTGATCTGAATTCATCCTGCCCACATCCCTGCCACTTGTGCATTTCAAGAATATGTGTCCATATTCTTCAGGAGATGCAAATATATATTTTTTATATATATATATATATAATGGTAAATATATACAAAGCACTATAATAGGATAAATAATAATTTGTAGGATGCTCTGGGAACACAAATAGAAGGTGTCAAAGCCCTAAAGGAAATGGAAAGGTGGATATAAAAATTCTAGTAATGAAGATGAGGTTTGATTTCAGTTGTAAAGGATACAGAGGAGTTGGTCAACAGGGAAGCAGCAGTTGCAGAATCTTCCAAACCTAAATGATTAATTGGAGTATTTTTCCCTCCCTTGCCAATGACCAGGTCAACAATCTACTCTTAGACAGTTTTCAGAATTCAAGACAAATTTCAAAAGAATATTTTTGTAAAATTTAGATCTGGTCCTCTTAACATTTCCCAGCATATCCAAATTGCTCACGGGAGAATTTCCATGTTTTTCCTATAGTCCTCTTCATGATGTAGCCAGCAATTACAGGTGTAGCCTCTTCCCTCATCCGTGTCCACATAATTGTATCCTCAGATGGTTTATCTTCTGGTTCTTGCCCTTCACATGCTAGTTTCTCTGTCTCACACCCACCATCTCAAGATGCCCTGGGAAATTCCTGCTTATCCCTCAAGACAAAATGGCTTAGAAAACATGCTTCTCACTGAACCCTGCCTGATCACACCTTGATCACTCTCTTTTCTTGAAAGCTGTTTCTTGGACATAACTCTCTGTCCTTAGCATGGACAACTGCCACATTCTGCTCACTGCTGACCTTCCCCAGTACACTATGAGCTCCACAAGGATGGAGGCCTCCTTTGTATCCCCAGATCTAGCACAATGCTCAAGATAAACCTCCTTTGGGTTTTGGAATGGCTGTTAGAAATGCCACTGTAAGAGGATATACTCATTTTGTCCACCTCCCCTCCTGCTCAGGGTCTCCACTGAATTAGGAGAGGGGAACCAGAATCCTGTTCTCCCGTTTCCCTTCCACAGGTCTTTTAGGCATGTTGCTCTCCTTCCATATGTTAATTCCCCTAATGATCATTGTTGATCCCATCCATTGTGGAGTATCACCAGCCATCATTCCTTTGGAGTTCTGTTTTGGAACCCAGGTTTGGATGAAGTTTGTCTTTGGGAGTTATTCCCCCACAATGAGTTACATCCCACAATCAATGATGAACAGAGAGGTGACATGCTCCCTCCTTTCCAATGCCTGTCTCACAGATTTGTTCTGCAGAGCTCACAGACAGGACCAACTGTTCTTCCTGTCGACTGCCAAAATAAGTCAGCAGTTGGGAAGGAGAAAAAAAAAAGACTATGAATTATGGAAAATAACTGGGAAGATAAAATGGCAATACAATGAAAAAAAAAAAAAAGTAACAATCTCAGTAGCCACCCACTCATGTTACTGTCTCAAATTTCAACCAACTAAAAGAAACTAAACTAAATGAAGAAGAACATCTAGTCAGCCAGAAGGCTCTGAAGTAGACCAGTAGTTAAGAGTTTTTCCCGTTGATCTAACTAATTAGCCTGACTCTCATAATGCAGAATTCAGCCAAAATCTTCGGCAAAACTGTGTTTTATTAAGACAGCAGATCATGTAAGGGAAGAGTTAGGTGGAAAGGGGTGAAGTGACAAAGTGTGTTTGGAATAAGCTCCATTTTCATATGAAATAGCTCATAAAACATCTCTGGCCAACCATTCTGAAGACAAGGCTGACCTACAAACCTTTCCCATACCTAATGGTGTGTACGCACGTGCCAGCTTCTGGTGACACTGTGATGTATGGCATAGGCTAGGGGGGTGTTATTTTAATGTCCCCAGTTCATGCTTGGGAGCACACATGTTAGACTTCTCACTTCAATGGTGTTTGTCTCAAGTGCTAAGAATATGATTATAAACTTATTGCAAGTAATACTTTCCCTTTATCTAACCGAGTATCATCTCGGAGCTTCCTTGGCACACCACATTCGGATTCACCAGGCTCTCCTGCAATTACTTGTGTCTGCTTCTCCTAAGACACTATGAGTGCCTTCTATGTGAGGGGTATTCTTCACACCTACCTCAGTTCTGTGAATTCTTCAAATAAGCACAACACACAAGAGAATTACTTTAAAAGTGTATGAATGTGGCTTACAGTTTTGTGTTAAGAATTTTCTTTGGCAGCTGTCTTCATCGATATCAGTGCGTTTGGATAAGTTCTCATGCCACTAGAGCTTGTCATAGAAACTGATTTCATGTCATGCTAAAATTTCTTTTTAAAAATTCTGGAAAAGTATGTTCATCCCGTAACTACTGTTTGTGCAAACATCCAGAAGATTGTTGCTTAAAGATGACTTTCTTATCTTTCTTGAGACTTTTAAACTTTAGTTCTGAAGTTCTATAATTGCAATTGTACAAACATTTGATTTGTAATCATATGTGGCATAGTGGGACAAATTATAGAAGTAAAACAATTTTATACGCCGGCTTTATGTTTCATTTTGGTCTTTTGAGTGTTTGTTTTTCTTTTTGTAAACTCAAAACTCAAACTCCCTGCTATGAGAAGAGGAAGGAAAGATGAGGGTCTGGATGGTCTTATCTTTTGACTGATAGTCAAGGCCAGTATTTCTCTTTTGCACCACATGGTACAACCCACATCAGTAGTGTGTAACCATTTTGCAAACAATGTGGCACATGCAGAAAACATACTTATTACAACAAAGCCTTTGGGATTTTGATTAAATGTAATAGTGTTTAAGCATCAGAGACATGTACTCTAATTTTCTTAGTTTGTTTCTTCTAATCCTCTGCTGGAAAAATCTTTTGTCTGATTATTTTTCCATCATCATTTTGGTATCTTCATGCTGTTAAATGTTTCCCTGCTGTTTACATTTTAGATGGGAGTCCGAAAAGTGTTTCTAAAATACTGGCATGCTGACCAACTCAATGATTTGTGCCTACAGTTGCAGAGAAAAATTATAACCTGCCAAAAAGGTAACATTTATATGCCAACATTTCTGAACTTCTTTGAGTTGTGAAATGCAAAATCTTTTAGTGCATCCGTAAGTTTAAATGTCAATGGGGTCTGCACCCGAGTGACCACTGTATTCCATTCCTGGATGCTATCTTCAGGCAAATAGTTTTTGGGTGTTTAGGAAGCATCGTGGTTTAGTTTGTTATGCAACTGTCTCAAAATGAACATTTGCAGACATTGGTCATGTTTTAATTAGACATCCTTTTGTACAAAATTTTATATTGAATTTCCCTAAACTACAGTTTGGAAGAGGGAATATACATCTCTTACTATATATGCATCCATTACCCTGCAAATACTCAGGCTTTTAAATTATTTCCAAAAGCACAGGACAGTGAGAGTGTAACATTGACTGTGCAGCAGGGAAAATGTCTCCCCTGGCATGTAGGTACAGCTATGGCACCAAATTCCTGTGTCATTTCAGTAGCGCCACAGGGACACCAGAGTTTGGAGAACCGGAACAAGCCGATGAACCAAACAACATTTTCTGTAATTCTACATGTGCCTTGGAAAAAGTATTGACTTTTTTTTCCCTTTATGAAGTGACAGTAATATTTGGAGTGCTATCTTTGAAAGCAGATAGTATCTATTCATTTTAACTTTAGAAGAGATTCCATTTGGAATTGTTTTTTCTATCAAAATCCAAGTGACTATTGAAAATGGGTACTTTTTAAAAACATTACTATGCTTCACATAAGATGTACATGCGTAATAGATTTTTAATTTGCTTAATAGCTTATATATATATTTATATATATTATATATAATTATATATATATTCCTGAAAGAATAATAAAAGAGGGAGAAATGATCTATATGCTAGCTTTTAGTGAGATATAGTGAACTCAATTCTAATATATTTGAAACTGTTACTCTAACAAGGAAACCTAATAGGATCCCCAAATCACTTTTATTCTTCTCAAGCCTCTGTCCACTTTTTCTGTGGGATTCATTCAGGTATGCCCCTGTGTGAATCTCCAATGGGTCTTTTCATTTTCTGATAAAAAAAAAGTCACCTGTAATCCCAGTTACCCAGGAGGCTGAGGCAGGAGGATCCCTTGAGTCCAGGAGTTCAAGACCAGCCTGGGCAACATAGTGAGACCCCCATCTCTCAAAAAATTTCTTAATTAGCCAAGCATGGTGGGACGCAACAATAGTCCCAGTTACTCAGAAGACTGAAGTGAAGAATTCCTTGAGGTCAGGAGTTCCAGGCTGCAGTGAGCTTTTTCTACCACTGCACACCAACCTGGGTGCCAGAGTGAGATCCCACCTCTAAAAGAAAAAAAAAATCAAAATTAGAAAAAAATAAATAAAATAAGAAGCCCTGTTACATGCTAGTCCCTTGAACAGTCTCTGTTCAGATTTTAACACATCCATCTCAAATAATGATCAAAATTCAGAACTTCATTCTAAGTTAAAACATCCTTCTTGGCTATTGCAGGCCTGTCCCATCCTTACTGGACATGGGACTGATCGCTACCTACTCAGGTTGCCTCAGGGTCTCCCAGGGTTAATAAGGAGGGGAAGAAGTAAGGAGGTGTCTTCTGAGGAAGATAAAAAGTCTTCTAAAGATAAAAAGACCTGCTTCTGGCAAGTCTTCTGATGACACAGGTGTACTATGGCGCTGGTCTCCTCCAGCTGGGGCAGACTTCAGCAGCTTTCCACATATTCCAGAGCACTTCAGGGACTTCCTTCTCTAACTGGCAACATCCTCCTTTGGCCGGTCATTTGCAACTCACCCCTCAACCCCTGGGCACCTTGCAGACCCTCTGTTGGAGTCTCATTATTCTCTCTGTACATGTTCTTTGTGAAAACCACATCTTTGTGAAAACTGCAGCCATGGCCTCTGAGATATCACAGTGCACAGTGGCTCCCAACCCCAAGGAGCCACATGCCAAGATCTCTGGGTGGCCTCCTGAAGCCATTTTCACCAGGCTGAGGCAAGGGGGAGCCTTGGACAAGAGAGGGCCAACTGCCACCTCTTGGTAAAGGAGGTATCTTCTTTCTAGTGTGTGATGACCTGGCCTTAACATCAACCTTCATCAGCGCAGGGGAGAGGGCAGGCCACAGGTCTGTTTTGGATCTCCCTCTTGCAAGTCCTGTTTGCACGTTTGGCCCTGCCCCAACCCACGTTTCCCTGGAACACCAGTGGCACCAACTTCACCAGGGATCTGGCTAGCAAAGCAATGCCTCAGGCCCCACCCAGGACCTATGGCATCCAGAGCTTTATCTGCAGCCTCAGCTGAAACTGGGACAGGGAGAGTCTCATTTAATATAATGCTAAAGACAGAACAGGGTATCACAAATTCTCCTGAAAACTTCCCTTAAATATGATAATAAGAAATTTTGCCCCATTAGAAATTTCTGTTCTATGTAACAAAGATTAAATTGCTGTACCCTATTGACCTGGAACAGAAAAGATGAACAGAACTGTAATTACTTGTTCACTTTTCTAAAGATAAAAATTAAGAATGGTCTTAAAAGGTCGGGCGCAGTGGCTCACGCCTGTAATCTCAGCACTTTGGGAGGCTGAGGCAGGTGAATCACCTGAGGTTAGGAGTTCAAAACCAGCCTGGCCAACAGGGTGAAACCCCGTCTCTACTAAAAATACAAAATGAGCCTGGTATGGTAGTGCATGCCTGTAATCCCAGCTACTCAGGAGGCTGAGGCAGGAGAATAGCTTGAACCCAGAAGGCAGAGGTTGTGGTGAGCTGAGATCATGCCATTGTACCACTCCAGCCTGGGCAACAAGAGTGAAACTCCATCTCAAAAAAAAAAAAAAAAGCCTTAAAAAATGACATCAAGATAGAAACCATAATCTCATATTGCATAAGTGAAATAATGAATATGAGTATTTTTTAATTACAGGGTTTTAAATGCAAAGCATTAATTATTGATTTTTATTTTCATAGCTCTTAAAACAGTTCCCTCAATGCTTTTTGCTAATATTAAATTTACTAAAAATTTATGTGATCTGGAACCATTTCCAGTTTTTTTTTTTTTTTTTTTGAGACGGAGTCTCGCTCTGTCACCCAGGCTGGAGTGCAGTGGCCGGATCTCTGCTCACTGCAAGCTCCGCCTCCCGGGTTCACGCCATTCTCCTGCCTCAGCCTCCCGAGTAGCTGGGACTACAGGCGCCCGCCACCTCGCCCGGCTAGTTTTTTGTATTTTTTTAGTAGAGACGGGGTTTCACCATGTTAGCCAGGATGGTCTCGATCTCCTGACCTCGTGATCCGCCCGTCTCGGCCTCCCAAAGTGCTGGGATTACAGGCTTGAGCCACCGCGCCCGGCCTCCAGTTTTTTTTTTTTAAGAATTCTATATTTTTCTTTAAAAATGTCCAGGGGAAAGAAAGCTGTAACTTTTAGTTTTAAATTTAATCATTTTAATTTGAAATTATTCCTACCAGAAGTTTTTTCTCTGACTGTATATGCTCATTTCATTCAGATGAAATTAAGACCTTACATGGCAGGTGTCTTAGCAGCAGTCTTCTGAATTTGTCTGAAAGACAATAAACATCAGCATCCATTAGTGGCAATTTTATTTTTACCAGTTGCCCCTTATTGAAGATATCAATATTTAGCAACTGGTGTAACATTTTTAAAGGATTTTAAAAGGCTAGTGGGATGAAGTGTGAGAAAATGAGGTCTTCTGGAGACGGGACAATAGACTCTGGGTGAATGTGAATCCAATGAATAGCTGTTCTGTAGTGGGAGGTCAGGAGAAGTCTGGCACATCCACATTAATCTTCTCTTTATTCCAAGAGATTAAACATCTTGAATATACTCACTTTCCCTCTTCCGAAAGCCAATGTCTCCCTTGTTTTTTTTTTTTTGTTTTGTTTTTTGCTTTTTTGGGTTTTGTTTTTTTTTTAGTGTAACGAGAAAGAACAAGTGAACAGGCCAATTTCAAGCGTTCTGCCTTCTTCTCGCTCGAGGTGCCCATTGGTTCCTACTGCTCCACTTTATTCCACATTTTATCTTCCTGGGAGTCTGATCGTACCACTCTGCTTAACATTTTTCCTTTACGTTACTTCACAATGACTGTTTTATGGTTAACTTAATGCAACTGCATTCCAACGTAACTAAACCTTCAGTAGTGCCATCGGAAAAAAACGCTTTCAGCATTTCAGATATCCACATATTATTTTCCTCTTCAGCCATCATAGTAGAATGTTCTGTTCAACTTTCCACCAGCTACTCAAGTAAAGACATCAAAGTCAGTATCATAGGTACCCCTCATGTTTGTTATTTTATAACCATGAACTATTTTAAAGCACTTAATAATTTATAGGCTTCTTCCTTTCCCAAGGGCAAGAATAAAGTGGCTTTGTTGCAGACATTGGCTTTCCTGAAATGATCCATCTTCTACCGTCTTAACCAACTCCTTATAATCCCAGAAACTTTTAAAATTGGGAGAGACAGAATCATAAAGTTTGAAAAGACTCTAATCAGAATTCCTCCGCCTGCACTTGTCCACTTCACCCATGAGAAGGGGTCACTGTGCCGGCCTTGTACACACTCAGGGCCTGGGAAGCAACTCTTTCATGAGCCAGCCTGATCCACTTCCACCCTGTGCTGATTGTTAGGAAGTTCTTTCTAACACTGATGGCAAATAGGCTTCCCTGTGACTTTCTTGGTTGGTGATCTGCCCCCTGAAGAGTTAGAGATTAGGTCTGTGCAACTGCAGGCTAAGGAAATGTAATTTCACCTCCTAAGCTTGGGGACATATGAACCCTGGCTCTACTATTCTTTGGTTGTGTTGACCTGGAGGAACTTTCTTAGTTTCACTAAGAGAGGCGCCATTGTGTCTGAAATTGAGGTAGTGGTATGTTTTGTCATTGAGTTTCAGAATTGAATGAGGTAATAGTGTCTTACACACAGAGGTCCCTTTAAATGGTGGTCTTTTGTTTTTAATTCTTGTATTTGTTACTGACATATTGATTTCAAAGCATTTTCACTCATTTCCCTCAATTTTTACACATTTTTCTAGCCGTCCTTTCCCAGAGAGCAGGATGGATGTCCTGTATTTATATAGTCTTTTTCCAGAGTCTTAAATATAGTGTTAATTTCTCTTAAGAATTAAATCATAATCTTAGAAACAATATATGCATGATATTTCCAAAGACAAACCCCATAAGCCTTAGGTGTTTATGTAATAATGTGATGTAATGAAAGATGATTCGTGCATCCCAAAATGCTGCAGTTGGAGGCATACCCCAAAATTCTGTGTCATTTGGACCTAGTTCTTTCCCATCGATTTAACTCCAGTCCATCAGTGTCCAGCTTGTGTCACCAAAAACAGTGTGGAGGCCTTTATCATCAGTATTGCCTGCAAGATCTCATTCAGGTCAAAGTACTTTGCCTTTAGTGTTATCACTGCTGATTTAGATAAATTCTTATTCTGGGTTAAATATATCTTATTTTATAACTGCTCAGAAATAAGCATATTGTGATTTTTGTTTGTGCATGTCTGAGTTTTTCACTTTTCCTCTGTTTACTGACCCACGATTCTTCTGTAAAAGTTATCAGAGGATTTTTAGCACGCCAGCACCTGCTTCAGAAAATGAGCATCAGACAACAAGAGGTGACTTCTATCAATAGCTTTCTGCAGAACACAGAGGACATGGGGCTGAAAACCTATGACGCCCTGGTCATTCAGAATGCTTCAGACATTGCCCGGGAAAATGACCGGCTCCGTAGTGAAATGAACGCTCCCTACCATAAAGAGAAGTTAGAGGTCAGGAACACGCAAGAGGAAGGAAGCAAAAGGTAAAGGCAGAGAGCATGCAACTTTAATTACCTCTGTGATTGATTCAATGGAGTCATGAAAATTCATACAGCCTTTAATGCAGAGTTTGATCAAATAATATGACAGGAGTTACAGGAACAGGCATGCGTGGTTTGTTATTTGAAACAGCAGCAGTCTAAAAAGATGCTTTCCAGTGCTGTCTTCTCATGAGTTCGAGGCTGTCTGCGTTCCTTCATTCGTATGTGATGATGACTGCCTCACTTGCCCTGCTTGTGTCACTTCACGACCTCAAGCACACTCTAGTTCTAAAGCATTTACTGTTTCTGTATTAGCAAAACTATATAGCTTGGCTGTTGACATTTTCGCACAAGTGTTATGGACATAAGGCTGGCTTATAGAAACTTGTGGAAATCTGACCCAAAAAATGGAGATACCACTCTGAAAACACGAAAGAAAGTGAACTCGATAGATTGTAAGTGTATTATATATCCCTGTGTAAACTGTCACATCTCTCTTTTCCAATAAAGCAAGCTTAGGGGAAAGCTTTTTATTTAACAGTTCACTTTAGATGCTTAAACAGAAACATGAAGACCACCTGGTCCTTCTCCATTTGATCATTCTCTTCTCTCTGAGAACGATGAAGACACTCATGAACCACAACACCCCTAAGAGGGAGAGCAAGGAGTTCCTTCCTTTGGACCTTAATTCATCGTCAGGGAGATGTTTATTTTGCTATAGAAACTTGGTGTAGTTTCTCACTGAAAATGACTCTCCTTTCCCATTTCTGCTGATGTCAATTTTTTTTTTATTAAAGTGGAAATGGCAATGTGTATCTTGTTAATTAGCTTCAAATATCTCAGTGATTAAATACTGAAAAAAAATCCCCTTTGTACAAAAAAAAAAAAAAAAGACTGTAATTAAACATTACAGGAAAAACAAATTATCCACTGAGTGCCACGCTTTCATCTTCAGCTATTTCATTTTCTACATGGGCGGCTGGCTCTGCCTTGTGGTAGATTCTAGCCCTGTTGGTGTTCTGCCACAGAAAGATATAATTATAAAAACAAATGCTTGGGAACTCCTTGTAGAGTGAATGCATTGGCATCTTGCTAGCACATGATTACGTTGACATGTGAAGCCAGAAGAAATTTTTTTTAAACAAGATAACTATTAATTTTATATGACTTCCAAAATAATATTTATTATTTTCTCTGCTGGAACTAAACGGCCACCTCAATTTCTCAATTTGATTATGTATGTATTTTCCTGATACAAAATTAAGTGAAGAAGTATTTCTCTATTTACTGAATACCAGCAGTTTCCTTGGCACTGGCCAACCATACAGAGTCAAGGAGGAGAAATAACAGCTCTGCACATAATTAAATAATTTCTGGTAGAATTTAAATGGCAGGAAAGAGAGTGACGGGGAGAAAGAGAACACTGAAATGTAAATTTCTGAGAGTTTTAAGTAGAGTCTCTCCTCCTCTTGCGAGGGGAAATGGTGATGAACTCCCAGTATTTGATGCATCAGTAACTCTCTATTAAGATGGATTTGCCAGAAATTATCATTCAGATTGAAATTCTGGTTTTCTGATTTGTTTAATAATCAGAGTGTGAAGAATTCATTCAGCAAGTGCCTGATGGAAAATGCGAAGACCCTTAAGTAGTGTTGCGTTTGTGTGAGAATGTTTAAAAAGTAATCATGATGGATATCCCGCGGGCTCATGTGCTTTTCATCACAAAGCCCGAGCCAGAGGACGGGTGGCCTTCTCTGGACCAACTGGTCACCAGAGGGCTGCACACGTCCTCCAGCCACAGCAGGAAGGGCTGCTTGCCAAAAAGCCGTCATTATGTCTGCTTGAGCAGGTTCCTTGTTACCAGAATAATGCATCTGGGCCTCTCTGGCGTGGTGCTGTTTGTGTTTTGTTTCCCCCTAAGAACCGAAGACAAGAGTGGACCCAGGCATTTCCACCCCAGCTCCATGTCAGTCTGCATGGCCGTGGATGGCCTGGGCCAGTGCCTCGCTGGCCCGTCCATCTGGTCTCCTTCGCTGCACTCGGTGTTCAGCATGGATGACAACAGCAGCCTCCCATCTCCACGGAAACAGCCTCCGCCCAAGCCAAAGAGGGACCCCAACACCCGACTGAGTGCTTCCTATGAGGCTGTGAGCGCCTGTCTCTCTGCGGCCAGGGAAGCAGCCAATGAAGGTCAGCCCTGGGGAGGGAGCCAGCCTCATGTTCGGGGCTCGGGAATGCTCTGACTTCGCCTGGGGGCGCCCATGGCAGTACTGTGGCCCTAATGTATTCTTAATAGAAATAAATCCAATTGTTGGCTTGCCAGCAGCTCTTAATCATTAAATATAAATAATATTTATTCAAATCTCTAAGCCTCTTAGGGAAAAGCTACTTACATGGCATTTCCTTAACTCCCATCCCCACCCCTGCCTCCAAAGAGCAGCATCAAATCAATTCAGAAAGTCAGCAGCTATTCCATGTAAAGGTTCACCAGTTAGAAAGTCAAGAAAATGCATCGGGCATTCCAGTTATCACAATCTAATAAAAAATTAAGACTGCTTCATCACATGGTAAGTGAAATTATTTACCCAGAGGAGAGTCATTGTGCAGGAGAATACTGTTAGGAAAACTTTTGAGACTAGATTATAAAAGTTTCTGCATCCATTGTCTAGAAACAGGGATGCTCAAAAGGGAACATTGCAGTTTTTCTCAGCCAGATCTCATAGATCAGTAATGAGACAATTACTGTTTAATTATTAATTTTAAGAATTGCGAAAAATAAAGGAAGTGCTTCTTAGCGGAACACTTAGAATTTAACAGATTTTATTTATCACCCGCTATGCATCAGGCTCTATTCTAGGCATGTCTATATCTTTCTTCATGGAGTTTACATTCTAGTGTGACAAAAACAGATGGTAAACACAGTGAAAGAGTAAATACTTTAGAAGTGGATTGTTGCTGCTGAGAGAAATAAATAGACCCAGGAGAGTAGTATAGGGTGGAACAGGGGTTGAGATTCTAAATGAAACGGCTGGTTAGAACTCAGTAGAAAATAATATCTGAACATAGGATGAAACACAGTTCCTTCCGTAAATAAATAACCCCAAATACAAAAACACAGCAAATCCATAAGCTCAATGTTGGGATGACTGACAAGAAGGTGGCAGGAAGACATGGGACAGAGGCCTGAAGCAGTAAGTCCATCCTAGCCAACTTCTTTTTTTTTTTTTTTTAATTTATTTTTAATTGACATAAAATTATATGTTTTTGTCATGAACAACATGTTGTTTTGAAGTATATGTACATTGTGGAATGGTTAAATCTAGCGAATTAACAAATCCATGCCTCACACAGCCATCATTTCTGTGTTAAGAGCACTTAGTGTCCATTTTTGGAGACGGAGTTTTGCTCTTGTTGCTCAGGCTGGAGTGCAATGGTGTAATCTCAGCTCACTGCAACCTCCACCTCCAGGGTTCAAGTGATTCTTCTGCCTCAGCCTCCCTCAGTACCTGGGACTACAGGTGCCTGCCACCACACCTGGCTAATTTTTGTATTTTTAATAGAGACTGGGTCTCACCATGTTGACTGGGCTGGTCTCAAACTCCTGACCTCTAGTGATCTGCCTACCTTGGCCTCCCAAAGTGCTGAGATTACAGAGATGAGCCACTGTGCCAGGCCCTTTTCCTTCCTTTTTTTTTTTTAAGCATTTTTTAAGAATACAGTGTATTGTCATTAACTATTGTCACCATGCTGTACACTCTTCAGAGTGCTTTTTATTAGTGGCATTAAAAAAGAACAGATCTTTAGGATATTTTTTACTTACAAAATGTTACTGTCTTAGTGTATGAGCCATGTATCAACAATACTTAGATCAAAGTAGAGGAGAAATTCCTAAAGACTTTGGGGAGGAGAGTCCAAATGTGTGTCTTTAGAGTCCTGGTTTGATAAGCACAATAAGAAAAGCTGTAAAATGACATTAGATGAGATCATCCCTAGGAAAGTCTTCAAAGTGGTCATCGATGTGGGCTTAGATGTAAATTGGAACAGGACCTCCAAAGATATGAGACATTCTGCCCCGGTGCCACATACACCAGGAGAAGCCCACGATCTGAGGGAGCCACCAGCACCCTCCCTGAGAAAGTGGGGAGCATCTCATCGCCACTGTTCCAACTTCAGGCCTCCATTTTAGATTTGCGGCCCGTATCTCAAAAAGATGTAAATTAGAGTAACAAGAAAGATTTTTGGCAGCTTGCGTGAGGAAGATGGTATCTTTAAGATGCTAAGACCTGTGAGATGGAGAGGGTGGGAAATTAAGACTCCAGATAGTATCAGACATTGAAAAAACAGTCAGGAAATGTGATGGAAAATTGCAGCAAATGCAGAATGGAGCCCCATCCAAGCTTGAACCCTGCCAACAGGCTCTAGAAATTTGCATAAAGAGGCCTCAGAACACCTTGTAACATCTAGGAAAAGCTAAAGGTTTGTGTGCACCTTAAAAGACCACTGCCCTGGAGTAATGGGGGGCCACTTTGTCACATGTTATGAAAGGAGATCAAATAGTGAGGAAGAAGCTGAGCTCAGAGAGCACTCTCAGATGGGCAGCAAAAACAAACAAAGAGTCAATTAAAATAAAGGTTACTCAGGAACGACAGGAGATACACACACACGCACGCACGTGCACACACATGCACACGCACACACGCACACATGCGCACACGCACGCACACACATGCACACACACACACGCACAAAAGCAAAGTGACCCCGAAAAAGATTAATAGACAGCATAATAACTCTTAAATTCCTTATTACATGCTATCAAAATACATCATGTGATAGCATTAGGCATGCAAGATATTTATGTAAAATTTAGTTTCTTGGATCCTAATTTTGTCAGATATGTGATTATAAGGTACTTAGAGATGCGTTTTGTCCACTATGTCCCACCCTGGTGAGCAGACCTTTCAGAAGCTTGTCAAAGGGCAAGTGTATACATGGTTTCCTTTTTACCATCTACATTATCTGTTCTTTCTTACAATACATTAATTCTTCATGCTGGTTACTTTACAACCGCCACCACAAAAAGAAAGTCTTTGATCTCCTGCAACTAGAGATGTATTTCTGCATTCTGGCATGCACTCTCAATACCGTATATTTTTAAGAATAAGACAATTAAACAGCTTAATCTGCTCAAGCATGCTTGCTGATTAGTTTTTACAGCATTAGGAAGTCAGAGAAGGCCAGCGCAGGAGCTTAGCCACCCAGTCTGTCAGTGGTCTGGGTTTCTAATCCATGATTGCAAAGGTGGCTCCACCCACACGTGATAAGCCAGCTGTCAGACAGGGTTCTGGTCCCTTCTGTGCCCTTATGTCAGGAGCTGAAGGTGGTTGAGTTAAGACAGTGATGAAACTGATCCTAGCATCTTAGACATCTCCTTCAGTCCAACACAATCCGAGTATCATCTAAGTCTTTGTTGTTCAATGCAGTAGCCACTAGGCACATGTGGCCAATTAAGTTTAAAGTAAATAAAATTAAATACAATTTTAAATGTCATTCCTCCATCATCAGTCACTTCCCAGGTACTCAGTAGCCACAGGTGTAGAACTTTTCCATCACCACAGAAGCTTCTGTTAGACAACCCTGATTCTGAATGCTTCGTGTGTCTACCAAGTGGTGATCCTGAATTTTTTTGCACCTAGTAACGTCACAAAATTATTCTCCTTTCTGTCAAAAGATAGGAAGAAAATTTGATCACTATTCTAAAATGCTTGGTAACCTTGGTTTCACAGGATTGAGGACAGCAGCTGAAGTTGGTTTTGTACCTGAGCCATCCTTTTTGGCATGTTAAAAAATCAAGTTCAAGTTCTTTTCCTTTACAAATAAAGCTGTGAATCAGTTCAGATGGTTATAGAGTGAAAGGAGATCTGATTGGAGACCAAGGGCCAAGGATTGTAGGGTGACCAGCCCCAAGGTCACTTTAAAGTTGTCTTTGTGTTTATCCTTGTTCTTATTAGCACCTGTCTTTCCTGGTAGGTCCTCACCCAATAAAAATGGTTGTGGTGAAGGAAAACAGTATAGAAAACAATTTTTTTTTTCTCATTTCCTTTGTACCTCAAAAGCATGAAACAATTTTGCAGGCCAATAAATGTTAACACTTCTTTGCAAACTATTAGCAAGCTAGAGACAACTATTTAAAAGTACCATGTTTTTATTAGGTCGGTGCAAAAGGAATTGCGGTTTTGGCCATTGAATAAAAGCCTGCAGTTGCTCTTTGCAAATAGTGGCTAGGAAAGGAAAGATAGGGCCTCGTTTTCACTTCCTCTTGGCTGGGGCCTCCCAGCTGGAGTGCTGTTCTGCAGAGTTCATTCCTCACACACCGGGTGCAGCCTTTCTCCCAAAGACGGTTAACATTCTCTCGAATTGTCTCCTGACCGAAGTTAAATATAAGCCTGCATTTCATGCGTGTGACTTTGAAGAAGTGACTCAGTCTTTCCAAGCCCATGTATATCAAGGAGCAGCAACAGCAGAAGCACAGCAGCGGCTATTTCTGGGGAGTTAGGAAGCAAAGGACTGTAAAGCCTCATTGCCCAGGACATAGCAAGTGCTGAGCAAAGTTACATGCATTTAGCTTTGTTGTTAATGAAGCCTCTGACAGTCAGTTTCCTCATTTGTGTTATGGATACTAAATTCTAAAATGTGGGACTTGCAGTTAAGTCATGATGTCAGTGGTGCTGTGCCTGGCTTGGAGTGACCGTTGCTCAAGGTGAAATTGCAGAAGCAAGCTTTTCTCAGGCAGCTCTAGTCCTCACTGTTCACCGTTCTATGTGGACACTTCCACACTCACCCTCCCTTCAGACTCCAACTGTCTCCTCCTTGGAAATTATACCTTAATGAACCTATAATTTTTTTTTTCAAAAATTGCTGTACAACTCCATTCTCCGCAAAACGCAGTTTACATGTGGAGACATAAATCATGATTCAGCTCTGTGGCTTAATTTGGAAATAACTTTATTTCTTTTCTGTACTCTCTTCTTTCTGTCTTCATTCTAGAACCACATGTGTCACATAGTAAGCACTCAACAAATGCTTATCAAGTGAATACATGTCACAGAAATCTATTTCTCTACACTCTTCATTAAAAGAGAATGTGCTTCCTATCAGTATATCAGAGGGAGCGCAATTTGCCAAGGTTCGAGAAGTACCCTTGAAATGTGTCCAGGCTGGATTTGTCCGCATAGTTTTAACAGAAGCCCTTAAAAAATTTTATTTTTCTATTACCTGAAAATGGACAGAAATTAGGTCTTCTGTGAACGCTCTTCTGAGAAATGTGTTGCTGGGGATAAGAGAACACAGTTGCACAGTTCACCACCTATGTCGCAGTTGTCCATTCAACAAATAGTAATTAAGTGTCTTCCATGAGCCTGGCTTCTCTCTGAGGACCTGACAGACCAGGTGGGGAGATAAGTGGTCAAACAGATTACAGGGGAAGCACAGCCACAGCAGTGAGGGTGTGGTAGGTGCACACCGGGCCACAGAGTGCCTTGCCCTCCGTGGAAACTGCGAAAGGCTCAGGAAGGGCATGTCAACAGCATCAAGTGCAGTCGGGAGGGTAAAGATGGGGGCAGGGAAGGCAATGATATTGCCTGAACTGCTCCTCCCACCAAGAAAGAAAAGTTATAACAAGGTTGCGACATATGACTGCTCAGTAGAAGCCCTTCCTGTCCAATTTGCAACTGATTGTAAATCCATCCTATATCCACTGATGTATACAGCCTGAGCAGTCAGCTAGCAGGCACTTAATTAAGCATCTTTTATGTCCTAGGTCCTGTGCTCTGTGCTACGTTTGCTTCTGCTCTGAAACTCAGCACAATCACACTAGAAGTGCTGGAAAATGGAGGAGAGTCACATATGCAGACACTATTTATTTTGGATGAACAAGCATCTCATTCCTCCTTTTTCTCACAGATTAACTATGCAGGTATTTTGTTCTTGTGAGAATGGGACCAAATAACTTATGCACAGAAGATGACTTAAAAGTCACTGACATGCCTTTGCAAAACTACCAAAAGGAAAATATTTTGTAGGAGAAAATGTAGATCTCCTAACATGACACACATGTCTGTGTCATTCTCCAGCAGTTCAGACAAGAGGCAACTTTATGATGTAATGAGATGGCTTCAGAATGTAGTCTAACTCCTAAGCTACCGTTAGGATCCCAGAACCTGCCCTAAAAGTATTCTGTGATCGTGAACTGTCTTCCCTACTCCATTTCATTGACTTTATCAAGTAGTTGCAAATGTTTTATGCATCAATATTAGGACAAAAAATTAAGAAAACTGATGATGTAAATTCATTTTTAATAACCCTCTAACCAGTATTTGCAAATGAACTTTTAGCATGTGTGCACGTGCACACGCACCCAGAAGTAGCCACAAACCAAATTAGACTTTAATTTGTTAACTGTGGTTTTCTAATTTTAGTTTATAAAGAATGACTATTTCCAGTTCTGACCCCCAGAGGTTCCATTTTAACTGTTACGGAGTAGAACAGGATAATGCACTCTAGTGATCTGATGTTACTTAACCCCAGACCACACTTTAAGGAACAGTTCTATCTCTCACGGTAAGTTTCTGGTTGGGTAGTGGTGATAATGTCGGTCATGATGGATACTTAGTGATGTTTACGATGTGCAGGCATTAAGCTAAGTATCTTTCATCTGTAGAATGGTCCTACCTAGCAGGACTGTCATCATGACCCTATATAGAGAAGGGTATTAAGTCACTGAGCAGTGGTGTAACTTGTCCTATGTCACATAGGCAAGCTTTGGACCCTTGAGTCAGGTTCTCAACAGCCTCTCCACAAACATGCTACTTTTATTTATAATTGTTTAATGCAAAAAGGCTCTTCACATCTGAAGCAAACTTTCAGGGAATACTATAGCAGTTACGTGTTGTCACGTAACAACCCACCCAGAAATTAGATTTATAGACTGTAGTGATTGTTTTACTACCCCTCTCAGGCTCTGGGGCCATCAACAGAGATCACTGAGCAGTTGTCATACACAGTCCTTCATGCAACAAGGTGGCTGGAATCATCCTGAAAGCGGTCACGGGGCATGTCTGGTGCCTCATTGCTCTGGGGAAGCGACTCCTTGGGTGTCTCTCTCTGTCTATGATCTCTGCATTGCTTGGGCAGCATGACAGCTTCAGGGTGTCCAACTTCTTTCACAGAGAGTCAGTGCTTCAGGGAATACTATATACTTAACGATTACGTGTTGTCACGTAACAACCCACCCAGAAATTAGATTTATAGACTGTAGTGATTGTTTTACTACCCCTCTCAGGCTCTGGGGTGTCAACAGAGATCACTGGGAGCAGTTGTCATACAGTCCTTCATGCAACAAGGTGGCTGGAATCATCTGAAAGCCGGTCACGGGCATGTCTAGTGCAGCCATCTGAGAGAGCGGCTCATAGGTGTCTCTCTCTGTCTATGTGTGATCTCTGCATTGCTTGGGCATTGCTTGGGCAGCATGACAGCTTCAGGGTGTCCAACTTCTTTCACGGAGAGTCAGTGCTTCGGGGGCATGTGCTTTGGGAGAGAGAAAGCGGTAGATGCAGCCTCGCTTTGAAGGAGCCAGCGTGGGAGGTGAGCAAACTCCCTTCTGCCACGTTCCTTTCATCACCTCAGTCCCAAACACCCATCCAGGTTTAGGAAAGGAGAAACAGATTCTACCTCTGGAAAGGATATACTGTGGTGTCCAGGGTGTTGGAAAGTACCATCTGTGTCAGTCCACCCTCTGGACAAAACAATTTGTATCCCTCTCTCACACAAGCTATACTCACCCCTCCCCCAGACTCCCCAAAGCCTCCTGCGGCATCACATCTGGCTCAGGTTCAAGGGCCAGATCACATCATCTAAATCAGATCCCGGTGTGCCAGTGCCTCTGGTACGATTCCTGAGAGAGACAGTGCCTCAAGTGTGTCCTCTTCCATCTGAAGACTTAATGACCAAAAAGACAAGTTACTGGATCCCCCACACAACCAAAATACACTGGAGGGACAGGCAGAGAATAACTGTGATGCACGCTTCTGTTCAGACACGGGAGGGAGATCAGGTGACACACAGTGGTCATCGATAGGTGGCAGTTGTGAACAAGAGCTGAATACATGTTGCTTGTGCCTTCATGAGGATTTAGTCCAGTTCGCAGACTGGAAATAATTTTCCATAGCTCTTAGCTCTATGTTCTGAAATCTTGGCAACCCCCTTTTTGACTGATAATTCCCGATCCACAAGAGGTGATTTATGTTTGGGAGTATGGTAGTTTTCTCAGCCTGCTTCTTCCTGATCAGGCTTGTGTTGTTGCTGTTGTTTAGAGGTGAGGTCTTGCTATGTTGTCCAAGCTGGAATGCAGTGGCTATTCACAGGTATGAGCATAGCGCAGGGCAGCGTTGAACTCCTAGCCTGAAGGGATCCTCCTGCTCAGCTTCTGGAGTAGTTGGGACTGCAGGCTCACATTGCACCTGGCCAATATTTTTAGAGACCAAAGTTTCTTCATTTTTGTGTGCACGCTGCTCCTTTCAGTGTAAACTGATAAATTCATTTAAAAGCTTCGTGACTTTCTTGTGAATCAATTCATAATCCACCTTATGAGTGAAAAACCACATCCACAAATCTTTTTGACGGATGTTGCTGATGTTACTGAACCCCAGTAACTGAGGAAGCTCACTGAGTATTTCTGTGGGTCAATGCCCTTGATATTATTAGACCTGTGGTTTTGCTTCCTTGAAAAGCCCTATGAAGCCCCTCCTTGGATTTTTCTGTGTACTTCTTGAAGGGTCTCATCAGTGTGTGCTTGACTTCATCTTTAGATCATGTTTTTCTGAAAATTCCCTGAATTTTATTTCTACTTAGAAGTCATTTCCTCCCTCCCTCCCTCCCTTTCCTTCCTTCCTTCCCTCCTTCCTTCCTTCCTTCCTTCCCTCCTTCCCTCCCTCCCTCCCTTCTCTTCTTCCTTCCCTCCCTCCCTCCCTCCCTCCCTCCCTTCCTTCCTTCCTTCCTTCCTTCTTTCCTTCCTTCCTTCTTTCCTTCCTTCCTTCCTTCTTTTATTGTTTTTGAGATGGAGTCTCACTCTGTTGCCCAGGCTAGAATGCAGTGGTACAATCTTGGTTCTCTGCAACCTCCACCTCCCAGTTTCAAGTGATTCTCCTGCCTCAACCTCCCAAGTAGCTGAGACTACAGGCGTGTGCCACCATACCCGGCTAATTTGTGTATTTTTAGTAGAGAACAGTTTTCATCATATTGGGCAGGCTGGTCTTGAACTCTTGACCTTGTGATCTGCCCGCCTCGGCCTCCCAAAGTGCTGGGATTACAGGCATGAGTCACCACGCCTGGCTGGAAGTCATTTCTTAGCATTCAAATTATTTGCCATCTGAAGAGCCTGGCAGTGAGAACCATTTTATTTTTAAACTCAGAAGGTTCTTGTTCCTTTATAGTGGATAGTTCTTTCTTTACTTTATCTCTGTATTCTCATGATTTACTCTAGGCAGCTAGAAGAATCCAGGAGGCAACTTTAATACTGCCTGGAAATCTCCTTAGCTACATCACCCTGTTCATCTTCTGTTTTCTGTTTTCCACATGACTGCAGGTGAAATAGTATTGCTAAACTTAACACTGTGGCTAAAATGTTCTGTTCCGTCCAGCTTCCAACATCTTCCTCACTGTTCTTTAGGCCTCATCAAGAGCTTTCTTGAGGCCACCACGCTTCCCCTCATGGTCCCTTCAAAGCTCCTCCCATGGCCCAAAGCAACTTCTAAGAGTTTAAGGGTTTTTCTGTTTTTGTTTTTGTTTGTACAGCAGAGTCCACTTCCAGGTAACAATGTCTTTATGAGTTGTCTATTGTTATGTAACAAACCTCTCCAACTTAGTAGCTTAAGACACCAAAATAAGGTTATTATATCTCTCATGGTTCTAGTATTTGGCTGGGCTTTGCTGAGCAGTTCTCAAGGAGCCTCTTTCATCACTGCAGTCAGATAGTGGCTGCAGCTATGATCACTGGAAGTCATGGTTAATTACATCTCTGGTGTCTGGGATGGGAAGCCAGACAGCCGAGGGCTGGAGCAGATCGGAGTCCTCTGGCTCTCCCTCACCTCTATGTAGCCTCTCCACAGTTCCCACAGCGTGGCTGCTTCAGGGTGTACAGACGTGTACGTGGAAGTCAGGGCTACCTAGACGTGTGTCCCAAGGGAAGGAGGCGGCCAGGTAGAGGCTGCATTGTCATTGGCCCAGCCCCAGAAAGCAGACAACATCATCTTCTAATCATTGTATTCATTGGGGCAGACACAGAGACCCTACCAAGTTCCAGGTTCTGGAAGAGTATGTGAGGCTGAAAATATTATTGAAGGCAGCTTTGGAAAATACGGTCTCTCACAAATCCTTTAAATTATTCATATCTTCAGAGCAACTCTATAATCTTAAGGTTAAAAATGGGGTTGCTTTATTCACTTTCTAGAAGCTCAGGGGCTGCTATGTTTTAGCCCATTGAAAGTCACTGGAACAATGCTTATTAATTAAAGAACTGCACACTTTGGGTACTTTCTATTCTTAAAAGTTGGCTGCTTTGGGGAGCCCCGTATAATACTGACTTACAAAGATGTCCATTGAGTTCAAAAATTACCTTCGTTCTTTTCCATTCCCATTTGAATGATTCCCGTTGTTTTCTGGTGACAGTGTGTCAAGAACTGAGTGAAGCACTTTCCCTACAGTATCTATTTTATTCCTTTGAGATACATAGTCATATCAGCATTTTATGCATGACAACCCTGAGACTCAGAGCGCTTTGCCCAGGAGCTCTCCTAAAATGACAACCCTGCCCCACCAACCCCAGCACAAACACACACAGTTCTGTGACCCTCACTCTGGCCTGTTGGTTCTCATCTTCGTGGCCTGTATCACATTCTAACATACTGTAGAACTCACTCATTTGGCATATTTCCATTTTTGTTGTTGTATGACTCTTCCCACTAGGGTAGAGGAGGGTAGGGAACTTATCTTTACTCATGAATTTATCTCGGTAAATACTGGTTGAATGCATATGACTCAGTGAATGAATAAAAGGTCATGCTGAGATTGGAACCCACGTCCATCTGATTCCAAACCTTTAATTTTAACCATTAGACTGCATTGTCTTCCAAAAACTGGGTACAGAGACTGCTGTGAAAATGTGCAGTCATAGTGAGGGAAGAATACAACTGCCTCAGTTAAATAACTCAGGAACTCAACAAAGGCAGATGTGCCTCTATCAAGAATTCCTACAGATTCAGAAAATACCAAATTAGTAAAATAATTGAAGGTTTGGGAGTTTGGATATTTCTAAGACTCAAAATAATTTTTCCAAAATTAACATCTCTGTTATCAGAGAAATTATATTTATTTAATAAAACATTATGATAATTTACAGAAAAAGCATTAGAAAAGAAGTCTTGTGGAATTTCTTTTTTGACTTAATTTTCAATAATTGTTTTAAACTCATATTTAAGTAGTTTTGTTCCATCTCTTTTGAAATTCACTCTTGTAATAACATTATGCTTATTTGTTTTTCTGAGTATGGCTTCTTTTTTTACCTTCAGAAGTTTCCCCTTGAAAAGTTCTTAGGGAAATGTTATTCTCTTGGTTTCCTTGTTAAGGATGTGTTTCTGTTAAGTATTGAAATGTACTAATTGTAAAACCTGTCCTCCCTGACATTTGAACAAAGTCCTTTTTTAAAGTCTCTCCATCCACACAAGTGTTTTGTTGTTTTGTTTTGTCCATTTTACATCATATTTATTTATTTATTTATTTATTTATTTATTTATTTATTTGAGACCAAGTCTCACTCTGTCGCCCAGGCTGGAGTGCAGTGGTGCAATCTCGGCTCACTGCATCCTCCACCTCCCAGGTTCAAGCGATTCTCCTACCTCAGCCTCCCGAGTAGCTGGGACTACAGGTGCGCACCACCAGGCCCAGCTAACTTTTTTTATTTTTAGTGGAGATGGGGTTTCACCTTGTTGGCCAGGCTGGTCTCAAACTCCTGACCTCAGGTGATCCGCCCACCTTGGCCTCCCAAAGTGCTGGGACTGCAGACGCCCGCCACTACACATGACTAATTGTATTTTTAGTAGAGACGGGGTTTCACCGTGTTGGGCAGGATGGTCTCGATCTCCTGACCTCAGGTGATCCGCCATCTCCAAAGTGCTGAGATTACAGGCGTGAGCCACTGCACCCAGCCCATTTTACATCATTTAAATAATCACACTCATTTCTGACAGGAAGCTTCCATATGCCACTAACTATTAATAGCTAATTGGCCAGGTCTCCTACGTTTCAAATCATAAGGACCAGTTCAACCCATACGTTATGTCACACCTGTGTTAGGTCCTAAGCATCCACACCTAAGTGTGTTCCACCACCTGATCCCTGAGTGTCCCTTCCCCACTGTGTCTCCAGGGACCTCACCTCCACGGCCTCCGTGGGTGGCTGACGTCCTGGAACCCCCTGATGTTCCACTGGACATCCTCCTCAGGGGATGGGAGTCTTCCATCTCCAAGATCAAATCTTTTCTCGGTGGTGGTCTCGGGAGTTCACGTTCAGCCAGGGAGCCTAGCGGGTGGAGGAACATGCAGGCCCGGTCCCTTGGGATTCTCGGGGCGCGGGGCCATGGCTCCGAGGCGAGTCCCGGGCGAGGTGGGCACCCGTGGGCCTGGCCTGGCACCCACTGACCGCATCCTTTCCTGCCGCAGCTCTGGCCCGGCCCAGACCGCACAGCGACGACTACAGCACCATGAAGAAGATCCCTCCTCGAAAGCCCAAGCGCAGCCCCAACACCAAGCTCAGCGGTTCCTACGAAGAGATATCGGGGTCCCGGCCCGGGGACACCAGGCCCCCGGGCGCCCCAGGGACAGCAGCGCGCGTTCTGACCCCCGGGACCCCACAGTGTGCGCTGCCCCCGGCCACGCCCCCGGGGGACGAAGACGACGGCGAGCCAGTGTACATCGAGATGCTGGGGCACGCGGCCAGGCCCCATAGCCCGGACCCCGGGGAGTCCGTGTACGAGGAGATGAAGTGTTGCCTGCCCGACGACGGCGGCCCAGGCGCGGGCTCCTTCCTGCGCGCATCGCCGCCCCTGCTCCACGGCGCGCTGGAGGACGAGGCGGCGGGGCCCCCCGGGGACACGTGCGACATCCCGCCGCCCTTCCCCAACCTGCTGCCGCACCGGCCGCCCCTGCTAGTGTTCCCCCCGACCCCTGTCACCTGCTCCCCCGCCTCGGATGAGTCGCCCCTGACACCCCTGGAAGTGAAGAAGCTGCCGGTCCTGGAGACCAACCTCAAGTACCCCGTGCAGTCGGAGGGGTCGAGCCCGCTGTCCCCGCAGTACTCCAAGAGCCAGAAGGGCGATGGCGACAGGCCCGCGTCCCCCGGCCTGGCGCTGTTCAACGGGTCCGGCCGAGCCTCTCCGCCGTCCACGCCGCCCCCGCCCCCGCCCGGGCCGCCTCCCGCGCCCTTCAGACCCTGCGCGCACTTGGCCTTCCCTCCGGAGCCCGCCCCGGTGAGCTTGGGGAAAGCGGGGCCGAGCGCAGAGGCGCCCAAGGTCCACCCAAAGCCAAACTCTGCCCCTGGGGCCGGGTCCTGCAGCTCCTTCCCCAAGATCCCGTATTCCCCGGTGAAGGCAGCCAGGGTCGACGCCAGGAAGGCCGGCTCCAGTGCCTCTCCCCCCGCGCCCTACAGCCCTCCCAGCTCCAGGCCTCTCAGCAGCCCCCTGGACGAGCTCGCCAGCCTCTTCAACTCCGGGAGGAGTGTGCTTCGAAAATCCGCGGCGGGAAGAAAAATCAGGGAAGCCGAAGGTAAGCGGAGTAGACATCCCCCCACTCCTTTTGCATGGACGCTGTGCTTGCGTGCACCTGTGTACATCCGTGTCTGCACAGATGTGAAAGAGTAAAGTTTCAGGTGATGGCCGTGGTCGTTCAGAGCAGGTATCAACTTGAAAAGAAAAAAAAAATCATATACACCCACTGTGACCAAATGAGTAGGAATTAATATTTCCGTGTTGCAGAATATGACAGAAAAGGCTCGTGATACAGAAAGACACAGACCGCAACTGGATTTAATAAATTATAACTTGATAAATGCTCAACAGAGCAAGGTTAAATGTTAGCTACTGATTTTTTTTAAATTCTTCCTTATAACATGAAAGTGGTATTTTGTGTAAGTTTCTATTGCCAATTTCCGTTTGATGTACAATTCATGGCTAATCCCCCATTGTGTAGTTTGCCATTCATCTAACTTTGCCTGGTGGTATCTGGGATGATGACCTATCCAGTTACTACCCTGCACTTAATGCCACTCGGCTGTGGGCTGTTTGGGATGAACTGCTTTTCTTCTGGTCGTGTGCCATCCAAGGAACACTCTAACGCAGCCCCGTTGTCTGTGTTTTCTCATCCAGTGACTCAGCCCACAGTGGGGTTTGCAGGTGGGAATCAGTCCACTCAAGTGAGCTCCATGACAGGCTGTTCCCTGCCTTAAAAAACATTTATTTTGTGTCCTTGTAAAAGAAGAATGTAGCTGGCAAAATAAGATTTTCATGATGACTTTTTTGGCCAGTCTTTTGTAACTGGCTAACCACATGGCTCTTCCTTCAGATGACACGGCCTGGGTGCCAAAGGTACTGTTTTTGCACAGATTCCTTTAATAATCACAAAGAATGTCTTCATCTTCCAAAAGACATGTTAAGGTTTGTATACAAAGCCAAAATGTTTTCCCAATGGTGTGTATTTTGGGGAAGAAGGAATGAAAAGGATCTTCTCTTTAAGAAAAATTATAACCAGTCTCTTCCATCATGATGGCATTCGATCCCCCACTCCTCTCCAGGTGAGGCAGGAGGATAGGGTCTGGAGGCAGGGAACCTAAGGCGCTTTCATGTCGACTCCCTAGAACTCAATTGAAAGGAAAACCATAACTTTCCGTGCCTAAGTAAAAAAAGGACCCTAGGCTACTCCCTCTGCAAACCCCCAGCTTTTCTGCACCACAGATGAGAAATTGGCTGTCTGCAACCAGTCAGACTTACTGCAGGCAGAGTCTTCCTTTGTGTAGAAATGCAACTCTATAACTTCACCTTAGCCTCTGTTCCATTGCTTTTTGCAATCAGATGTTTGCAGAGGAGTGTGATCTTTTAACTTCACTTCAGCCTCTGATTGGAGGCCACCACTTTATTTACATGAGGTGAGCATGAAGTGGCCAATGGGAAACCTCTAGGGGGTATTTGGACCTGAGAAGATTCTGTGTCTGGGCCCTTGAGCTGCTGCCCAGCCCAATCCCACACTGTGGAGCGTACTTTTGTTTTTGGTAAATCCCTGCTTTCATTTTTTCGTTGCTTCATTCTTTCTTTGCTTTGCTGGGTGTTTTTCCAATTCTTTGTTAAAAATGCCAAGAACCTGGACAACTTGCAGTCAAGACCCTCTACTGGTAACACAGGGTAGGTGGCAACTGTGGACGTTCTTGTTTTATACATGGAAAACTTCACGGTGGAGAGGTTAAATTCCTTCCTTAGGGTTAAGTGGTAGGATTGGAAGTAGACTTTGATCTACAGTGTAGTAACATTTTATGCATGCATTAACCTGCTCCTTCACCAAAAGAAAATACATAAATATGTAAGCATTCATCATTTGATTAGCAATATTACTTTAGGTACAAAAACTAGAACATCTAGAAAGCAATCTGAACAAGTGAAAAGTAGGTCAAGGCTAAGAACCTTTAACGATGAATGAATAACCTTCTCCCTATTTATTCTTCAGACAAATAAGCTAATTGTTTAGCTAACAAATTCTTCTTAATTATAGGCCATTAATAAATGAAATTGTATTTGTAAATAGCAGAATGTTTGAATTTCACAAATCGTGTTTCATTCCAAGGAACAAAATGGATAAGAGAAAATCATTAAATGAACAAATTAATATTTGCTTTTAAAACTAAAAGTTTATTAAAACCTCATGAACCTCATTTTACTAGAGAATGGAACAGGGTGAATTCTTCTTGACTCTATTTAAGGAAGTGAAGTTAATGAATTTCTAGACAGACCTCATCATTTGGAAATCCCAAAGTCTACCCCTCAGAGGATAGCGAGAATTATAGTGAGCCCTCCAGGCATAGTGTGTAAATTTGCTAATTATATTTCCCTGTGGTGGTATTAACCAGTATTTGGGAACACACATCAAAATCTCAAGTACAACATAGTTCAACTATAATTGTAAGACATCTATTTTCTTATTGTGGGCTTTTCTGCAATACTTTTTCATGTGAAAAGATTGGATTGAGCCACTTATGACTTTCTCAAAAATATATGAATTGGCAACTTTGGCCACTTGCACAGTTGCTGTAGTAATAGAAAACTTAGCAATACCAGACCGGGTCATCCCCACACACCAGATTATGGGAGTCCTAACTACACAGTTGACTACACAGTTGAGAAGTGTATAATAATTCTTTTTTTTTTTTTTTTTTTTTGAGACTGAGTTTTGCTCTTGTTGGAGAGCAATCTTGGCTCACTGCAACCTCCACCTCCCAAGTTCAAGCAATTGTTCTGCCTCAGCCTCCCGAGTAGCTGGAATTATAAGTGCCCGCCACCATACCTGGCTAATTTTTGTGTTTTTACTAGAGATGGGGTTTCACCGTGTTAGCCAGGCTGGTCTCAAACTCCTGACCTCAGGTGATCTGCCCGCCTCAGCCTCCCGAATAGCTGGAATTACAAGCGCCCGCCACCACACCTGGCTAATTTTTGTATTTTTAGTAGAGACGGGGTTTCACCATGTTAGCCCGGATGGTCTCAAACTCCTGACCTCAGGTGATCTGCCTGCCTTAGCCTCCCAAAGTGCTGGGATTACAGGCATGAACCACCATGCCCAACCTAGTGTCTAATTCTTTATGGGCTGTGATGAGGGAAACAAGTTTACAAGTTCGGATGTCACGTTCTCATGGGATAGTTCAGGTCATTCTTTTAGAATGTAGGAGAGGTTCAACATAAGCTGTGGAAGGAAAAGCGTTCGGTGCTGGTGCTCAGCACTGGTGCTGGTTATATGACTCTTAAAGTTTACACAGTTTGATCCTGAGGTCAGTAATCCATTTTCTTCTGAATGAATTCAGTTACTTCTTTGGAATTTCTTTCAAGTTTTAAATCTTTTACTGTACTTTATGCTTAAAGGCATTTTTATTTTCACCGTGAAATAGCTTTTTTTAACCAAATAATACAGTGTGTGGCTAATTTACCCTTCAGGCTTCTTAAATTAACTAAAGTTCATTTTTTGTTCAGTTTTCATAGGGGAAAATTATTGCACAAATTTTGCAGAAGGGTTCAAAATGTTCTCCTTGGCTGTTTGGAACAGTGACCGTGACAAGATTAAACCGCTCAGTAATTTAGTTATTTCTGGTTAAAATATAATGGGCTGTAATGTACGGTGAGTTGTGTACGGGAAGCAAGGTTGTTTCTCATGTAATTCTACTCCGTTACTATTCCGTAGCCTTATATGTAGGATTTCGCAAATTCTGTGTTGCCCAAACCAGTTCATTTTCTATAGATTATTGGATATGCAATTGGAAGTATAGACAATCATGCAGATTCTAAGAGTGGTGGATACACATACAGGAAAGATATGATTGTGCAGATGATGGATGTGACTGCAGTCTGAGAAGAAATGTTTGCAGCAAGGAATTGTAGTGCTTACTGTGTGCCAGGCACTGTCTGAATAATCTAATTCTCACAACACTATAAGGCATCTGCTCCACTTATCTCCATTTTACAGGTGGAAAAACTGGGGCACAGGGAGATTAATCTACTTGCTCAAAGTTACTGTGCTCATGGGGGACAGAGAATGTGCAGTCAGTCTGTCTCTAGAGTCTCTTCCTCTAGCCGCCTATGCAATGCTGCTCAGACCGCAGGAGAAAAGAAACAGAAAAAAAAAGTTTTAAAATTAATATTTGTTCACTGAGGGGCAACGAGTCATAGTCATAAGACTGTAGTTGAAGAGAATTGTCCCATAAACTCAAGAATGCCAAACGCACTTTACACTGATTATGGGGATGTATAACTCTGGGACACAGTGTCTAGGCTACTTGGCCCTTAAAATTAATATTGACTAAATGTTTAATTGTCTGTGCCATTTTGGATATAAAGATCCCATTAATTCACAACACTTTTTTCATCTCATGTGATCATGTGGCTAATATTATTATGCTAATTATTTCTAGTCGCTTGGTTTCAAAAATGATGAGATCCGATTCAAATGGTGAATGAGAGTCCTTGGCTCCTTCAGGCCACTAGGGTGCTCCATTGCTCTGAATGGCATTTCCGCGTCTGGTTGAGTTTATCCAGAGTAAAGTGAAATCACATGAGCGTGTTATTCTCTACTCAGTGAAAAAGATCAGGAAGACTGGGTCTGGACAAAAATGCAGTACATCTCAGAAATCTGGAGAAGAAAGTTGAAGACAGCCTGGCCAAATTAATGAAAATCAGACTCAAAATATTTTTTTTTAATTCCGTTGTATTACTTTCTGATACAGTGCATCCTTAGCTTCTAAGTTATAAACAGGTACTTAAAAATGATGTCAACAAGAAAACTGTAATGTACAGTATTTCTTTGCATATAGTAAGTGAGTATTAAATAGTTGTTTGAGTTAAAATTTACTATAAAAGAGCAGTCTGCCATATAAATCTATTTGATAGAACTAACTCTTGTGGCATTTTTACTAAATAAGGATCACATAAGCTAAATGGAAGTCCCTATTAATTTCAAATATTTTATTTGATTACATAAATATTCGGAATAAGAACATTTTGAGTTTGGAGTCAGAGTAT